CACAGAGACACGCTGGTTCAAGGGACCTGCATGCTGAGTACAACACCTATCAGACCTGCGTGCAGGTATCTGTGATGTCTGGTATTTGTGGCTTCCCTAATCTGTTTTATAGGGCTCTGCCTCTTAACGTTGTGTGTCCTCCCTCCAGTAAATCCTGCACGGTGGGAGCTGGGCTGGTGCCTGGCTGGCTGCCACGGTCCTGGGGGCAGAGCTGGTGGACGGGAGCTGAACTGAATGGGAGGCGTGCGGAGCTGCATCGGCGCACAGGCTGGTCGGGAGAGGAGAGCGTGGTTCACGCTGTTCCCACAGCACAGACAGGTGACAGAGATGTTCCTGACTTTGACTTGTTTCAGGACGCACACAGACTGCTCTTTCCTGCCTCCTCCCCATACCTGCCAGCTTCCCTGTCTCTGGGGTGGCGGACAGGAGGAGCACATCTCTGTCTGGGGCTGTGTCTGGGGCTCCCTTGGCTTCCTGAGCCTGACAGTGCCGCAACCAGCTGGAAGAAGAAGACACATTCTCCGGCAGGGCTCCTTCTGACAGCAGCTGCAGGGGGAGGCTGGCAGGGGGCTGGCTCTGAGAGCATGAGTGCATCCCTCTCCTGCCTGGTGGGAGCTGCAGAGGTCACCTGCTGCATCTCCTGTAGCGGTCAGATGGCCATTCCCCCAGCAGCGACTTCAGAAATCAGGGCAAAACTGGGTGTTGGCAGAGTGCCTGAGAAACAAATACCAGGGAAAGCTGGCTGGGCGATCCCAGCTCCCCAAAGTTGGTTTTGTTTTTGCCTGTTTACCCGCTCATGACAAGCATTTATGGCACCTTCCCATTTGTGCACAGAGCAGGTGTGAGAAATACCTGTGGCGCATTTCCTTCCTTCTTGGCAAGCTTTTCTGGAAGGACCCATGTGTGCAAATGTGACCAGAAACTAGCACTTAGGTTCTTGAAGCAGACTTTCTCTGCCCTGCGTTGCCTTTCAAAGGAAGGGCTCATGCCTTGCTCCAGGAGCTCTTCGGCTCCTTGTGCTCTGCTGGCCAGGATTTGGGAGTCTGCCCCTTCTTGTTGCCTAAACTATTTACCTGGATGAGTACCCTGGTATTTCCCTGGATCTCTACCCCTGTGTTCACACCTGCGCGTGCCTTTCTTTTGTCTGCTGCTTCTGCATGCAGAGGCTGACTCACAGCATAGCAGGCAGTCGGCAGGTGCTGAGAGCAGCCTATCTAAATGGGTCCAGTGGTTTTTGCATGTGACAGGGTTTTGAGGGGGGTGAGGATGGCATGCGATCTCTTTTTCTTTCTTTTTTTTTTTTTTGGCTGCTTTGTAAATAAACAGGAGTTTTCAGAAGCGCTTTCTGCGTGGTTTTGCTTCTCTTTTCAATTGCAATAAGATTACCAACTGGTGAGAGATTATTGAAATCTAGATTTCTAGTTTACCTGCTTACCAAAGGGAAAACAGATGGAATCCAGTGAATTCTCACAGAATTGCAGGCTTCCTTTTTTAAAACAGGAAGCACACATTTGTTTTCCTGTTTATGAACAACTGCAAACAAATCCCGCTTTGCTCTTTTTTTATACTGCAGGCTGTTGAGGGTCAAATTGGAGCTATAGGAAACAACGCTGGAGTTAAGAAAGGTGTTCAGGATGGTGCTTTCTATTCTGTTTTGTATACCAGTTAATTTCTTTTGTTCTCCCTTACAAACTATGCTTTTTTCTCCAGGAAGCCCAGAGGAGTGCTGGGCCTCATGTGTAGTGGACCCAAAGATCAGCAGTTCCCAGAAAAGGAGAAGCTCCAGGGAGTAGGTTTTGGGGGTCTGGGTAGTAGTGCTTGTAAGTTAAAATAGTGAAACTGGATGCTGCCGAGTAGCTGTTTACAGTAGCCTTGGGTGACAAGGGAGAGAGAGAAAGAGTCTCTCCTTTCCAAGTGGTATCAGTCCAGCTGGGGAGATGAGACCAGTGAAGTACTAATTCTGGCATTCCCTGCTGTGGTCCAGCCTGAGGTTTTCTGACTTAGAGAGTAAATTGGCCAAGCAATTCGCAGGCTAACAGGTAAGAAGCTCAGATTTTTGTCAAACTGTGAATATGCCTGAAACCAGGGCCTTTTGTCATTTGCTAGACAAAAAGCATGAGTTAGTTAAACCCATCCTTGCAGCTAGCCAAGTACAGTTAAAGTCATGTTCCCACTGTAATCTCTGATCAGTTCTGTTACAATTTAGCGAAGCATTTAAGTGTTTGTCTTCAAGTTTGATTTAATCATACTCTGGAGAGATGTCTGCTGAAAAGAGCTGCTGTCTGAATCAGGGCCTTGGGAAACAGCCATGAAATGACAGAGCAGGTGCTGGGCTGTAAAATAAGGGAGGAAAAAAAAATTTTCTTCTGATCATGGGGGAGCCCAGTAGAAACTGGGAGAATGCTACAGTATAAACAGTGATGGGAAAGGAATGAAAAGCATCTCTAAAAAGATGGTGTGGCCAGTGCCAGAGGGGTGGGCAAGGGTGGGAGCTGATACATCACCATCCCTTACGTGGTCTGCTCGCTGAGGTCTCAGTGACCGTGCTCTGTATACGGCTGCCTGGGCTGTGGATATTTTCTAGGATTTGCTGTTCCACTTTTGTAAATAACAGAGACTTTCTGAGAGGCTGTATTTGGTGCTCCGTGGGACACAGTGTCCTTTGTCGGATGTATGCCATATGACTGGGTTGGTGTCTGTTACTCCCTAAGGAAGGGTCTGGCTCTTTCCTAAGGATTGGGACAAACACATGTCACTTTCCACAAGGCAAAAGCCTGGGGCATTTGTTGTTCCTTCACCAATCTGGAGTTCTGCTTTTATGTGTCCTGCTCTTTGGCTGTAGTGATCCTTAGAGATTTCCTTAGCAGCAAGATCCATAAAAAGCAGTACTGCACAGGGCAGGTGTTCATTTTCAGACATTGCGACCCAATCTGGTGTTTGGGCCAGGGAAGAACAAGAGGCATTTCTGATGCCTGAGGGCAGGCCAAGTTTCAAAAGCTCTTCTAACCAACTGGGGGAAAAAAATTCTATCCCTTTACCTTATATTTTAAAGTAGATTTTTGGCTTAAAAAAAATGCAGGAGAATATTTTAATAATAGTAGGAAGAAAAGGCCAAGTCAAAGAGTAATAATGGGGCTTCGACCAACTCATTAGAAATGTAGTGGCTTCTAATAAGTATTGGGCAACCCGAGGCAATCAGTGCTGCTTTTCCGCATGTGCAGAAGAATGAAGGTACATCTAATTCTGCAGGACTGCTGGCTGCATGGTAGGACAAATGTTAGCCCTTTGTTTTCTTTTCTTCCTGCAGGGTATTCTTAAAATCTCTTACTAGCTCTCATCTGAAAATTAAGCAAATTGCCTACAAACTGCCAGCAGTGCCCTTTCCTTCACCTTTGTCTGGCTGTTTGCCTTTGGATCAGAGCTTCTCATACAAATTTGGAGAAGATAGGTTAAATACAAATAGACAGAGAACACTCCAGAGTTGGAAATATTTCATCATGTTTCTGTGAGCAGCTCAGCAAAGCCCTCTGAGTGGTGGGGTCCTCTCTCTGCTGGTAAAAGTATGGTGTGGGATGGTTCCTTCTGGTGATCATCTTGGTTCTAATGCTCTGAGACACCTACTTTTATGGTACGTGTTGCCTAAAAGCTGCTCAATGCATAGCATCAGTATGAGGCAAGTTGTACTAGCGTGTTTGACCTCCTTGTGTATGGTTTGGTGAAGCCAGATTTTCACAGAGCTGAATATTACGGATCTTCAAATAGACTATGCAAGATTCAGAAAGGAGTCCGTGGATCACAGGATGAGCAGTGAGATATACTCATGGGATTCCCATTGCAAGTTCAATGGTGACATATGTACAAGACTAGTTTCAACTCTATAGTCTTCCAAATTATTTTTGTTTTGGGGCAGACTTAAGACTATTTAAATGCTAATGTTTCTGTTGAACATGTCATAGCTTCTATAGTGTGTGACTTTCAGATTTGTTCATCCTTGATGTGCTACTTTTTGGTAATCATGTGCATCAACAGTTCTTCTACACGTTAACATATTTCAAGGCTGTGTAGGAGTTATGTGCCAGAGGGAGTAAATCTAGCTATGTATATAAGGTAAATTACAAATGTGGATTATAAGTGCGAGAATCAGGGACGTTCCATACCAAAATACCTCACTTGAGTCAAGTGGCCTATTTGAAGAACTCCATTAGCTTGTAGTAATAGCAGGCTTTTATCCATTGTATATACCAGCACAAATCAGATGCTCTTATCCAAGTGCTTCCTCTCAAAAGAAATTAATCCCAAATGTCTGATATCTATCCAGGCTAAAGTCATCCTCCAGACCCTTTTCATTGCAGGCTGGTATCAACAACAGAATTGGGACCCTTGGTATCAAGCCTACTAGCTTCTGTTTTGTGAAGTAATAACTATGTTAGGAGGTAGCAGTCTAAGACATTCATCTTCAAACACAAAAGTTACTTGTAGTTTATTTTTCTGTTTTGCACTTAAATGGAATTTATTTATGTCTGAATATTTATATCTGTAACTGGGGGAGGTATTCAGGTGTCTGTGATGCTCAAAGGCTTTGGATAGGTATCCTGGTATACTTTAGTTGGTAAGCCTGTGTGATGAAATCTTGGCCCCATTAAAGTCAGTGGCAAAAAAATCTCACTGACTATAGCCATAATTAAATTTGAGCTTGAATTTCAGAGTGGCGTGTAGGGTTGTAGTCTTGTGCATCTTGCGAACTTGTGGAGTTATTTAAAAATAAATATAGGAAAAATTGTGTTCCAGAAAATGACTTTACTCTCAAACCATGTATTCTGGTAATTTCTTTTTAGATGAGATTTCTTCTCAAGACTTTTTTGTTACCATAAGCAGATATGGTACTTTCTTGATCAGAGACAGCTCACTTGCTCGTACTAGTTTACTAATTTTCATTAGCATATTAATGTATGTGAAGCAGGGGTAAAAAATAATCACATCTCCTTTCTCTCCCTTTGCAGGCTCTCTACAATTCAATCAAGAATGAGAAGCTTGAATGGGCAGTGTAAGTATACTGCATGGGATTTAGGAGTTTAAAAATAGTACCTGAGTAGTAACCTGTTTATAATTCCTGTGCCACTATCTGAGTGGGCTCCAAAGCTTGTAGAAGATAGCCAGTGTGTGTAATGACTTTGCTTTTCTGTTAATGAATGACCTGGCAATACTGCCTCATCTGTTTATCCAGTGAGGGGAGTTGTTAGTGATAGGAGCCAATTGCATTTGTAAGGAAAGAGGACATTTCATTTCGTAGGAAGCTTCAGCCTGAAAAGAGAGAAATTAAATCCTCTCTTGTTCTGTGACTGCATAAATAAAACAGATGTTGACTTCTCCCTTTATCTTTCAGTACATTGTGTCAGAACCACTGAATAGAAACACACATCTTGGATTGAGTTTCCTGCTGTTGGTTTATTGTCTTGGTTTGTCTCCTGATTAATTATGGATAACTTGACAACAACCTAATATGAAAGATGATAAATAGGACAAAATCTGATATCCCCCTATCCTTAGCCGCTTTTGACAGACTAACACTTGTTAACTACTGAAACAATGAAGATGAGAGAGCTTCCATTTCTAATCATGTTAAATTGACGTTTCTCTGTGCTTAGGTTTAATGTGGTCAAGGTATGCCAGCACAGAGCAGAAGGGTCTGCTTTAGACCTTGCCTCTTGCAGAACAGTGTATTTTGGTGTAAAATAGATTGATGTCTCTATCTTCATGGATTTACCTATCTGAAGCCTCTCTTTCCTAAGACTGCATGCTACTGCATCTTTTGTGCCAGCAGTCCTAACCACTGCCATAGGTCTTGCAGGCCCTCTGACTTCTGATCTTCCTTAAGTTTACGTTCTGCAAGTGAGTATCTTGTCAAGGCATAAAACATTGCTTGCAAGGGCTGGTTATCCCAACTGGGATCGCAGCCCCTGTTTTGGAAATGTGTTAGGTAATGTCAGGGTAGTGAGGAAGGTGTGCTGGCAATGAGAACCACTGGGAAGTGCAACCTCTGATGAGCCTTATAAGAAGCAGGGTGAGACATTCTCCCAAACCATGTGTTGGGTCTGTAGCATGCTGTGTGAATCTCACACCTCACAAGATCAGAGCGCTTTGCAGGATACCTTCTCAGAGGTGCTTTAGACCCAGCAGAATCTGTTATGACTTTCACATCAGAATTTTTCTCCTGGCAAGAGACCATATTGTGTTTAATCGATTTGGGCAGCCTCCAGGGGGGAACTGGCTCATGCCTGGCTCTGCTCCCGTGAGTTTCAGTCAAGGTGATTTATGTGATGACCTGGTCCTGCATAGGTAATAACTTCTTTGGCATTTACGTAGTCCAGACTATATCCATTGCTAATGAATTGTTGGATGGGGGAGGAATGCAAGCAGGCTAGAAGAGGGGGAAACCAGAATCTTAAATTAGGCTTTGGGATGTGGTTGTAATGCAACTCAGGAAGATAGCTGGGACTTGTGTGCAAATTATTTTCTACGTTGAGAAACACAGCTTGTTCTGGACAAAGCTGAAGAGGTAGTACCTTTAGATTAGGCCTGAGAGGGATGGCTGGAAGAGGGAGCATGAAGACATTTCTCACTGTTACTCTGCCGTGGGTTGGTATAAAGTAACCTCAAGCAGCCTCAGGACTGCCTGAGCTGGAGGGAGAAGGCAAATCACTGTCTCTTGATCTGCTGCAGAGGAAGATGAGTGGGAAGGAAATGTGGTCAGTTTTGCTGCAAGAGGACTGAGAAAGGTCCTCTCTGCCCTTTCCAAAGAGTATTCCTTTGCTTCCCCTGATGGAGTTGGCTGTGGAAGAATTGGGAGGTAAGGCAGTGTGGAAATATGGCTGCAAAACCCAGCATAACCTCCCTCATGGTGCTGTTAAGATGAAGGAACACCTTTCCTTTAGCTAAAATCCCCTTGAGGATCTAAAGATGTTTTTTATGAGCTGAGAAGCAGTTTAAGAGCTTCTCTGGCAATGCATTATTGGTGGATTAATGGCTGTGTGTAAGTCCTTGGGCAGGGACGGCTAACAGTGATGAGTGAGATGGGGAAGATTGCTACCCGATCCTAATCGCACTAATTACAAGATAGCACGTGTCATCATACGAAGTAGGTTGCTGTCCACTTCCAGTAGAATTACAGTCTAGTCATAAGCCCCCTGAGAGGAAAAGCTACCATTGAATTCAAATTTGTAGTCAAAAGAAGTGGCACCTTTAATCAGCAGATGTGCTCCTCATCTATTTCCACAGGTATTCAGTAGGACAAATACTCGTTTATGCTTTATGAACAAGGAAACACGAGTACAGCTCTGGGAGAGAATTTACATTAGAATTCCTTTTTCTGCAGTACTTGCAGGTTCCAGTTCCCTAAAAGGTTAGAAGGGAATCACATGCCATGATCTATAAAATAAGCAAATCTGACCTGGAATCCATGGAGAACTGGTAAATGTAGCTCTTGAGTGCAAACTTCCACCTACTCCCCCCCAGGTTTTTGATTAATTTTCACAACAGAACTACCAGGAGGTATTCTGTCATTTACTGGTTGTTTCCTCTTGCCCGCCTGCCTTGAGTAAAGCAGTGTGGGAAAATTGACCATCATATGTATGATTTCTGTCTTGTCCCATTCCATGTTTTCTCTGCACTGCATACCACTCTAGATCTCTTCTCTCTGTTGGACTTTAGTTCATTTCCTTGAATTGCAAGCACGAAGTAGCCAGGCCTCACTGAAGTCGCTGGCAGAAATTCCTACTGGCTGCAGTGAAGCCAGGCACTGTTTTGTCCAGTTGGTCCAATCCACCCTGTTTTCAGTGTGCTGAGGTCACTGGAACTACCCCAGTTTGGTGCATTTAGCCATGATAATCGTGTAATAATTTCTCGTGCTTCTTAAACGTCTCCCAAGGGACTAGATTTTTTCATGATTTTTTTTCATACTTGGTTGGGAACGTCTTGTTCTGCCCTGACATCACCTGTAAGACTAAATGAATTCAAGATCCTGTGAATACAAATGTTGAGAAAAGCTAACACTGATGAGAGGTACCTGGTTGTATTCTTTTGAGTGTATAAAGGCTGTTGCAGAGATAGGTGTGAATAATTCTTCACACCCATTGTGGATGGACTTATATTTGAAACAAGAGAATTCGATGTTAAACATTAAAAATAAAAATAAAAAAAACCTAGCAATAATTCTTGTAAACCAGCAAATAGTTTTGCCAGAGCAAGCTATGAAAGTCCTTTCACTGGAGATTTTCCTGAGCTGTTTTTACAAGTATCTGTCTAGAATGGATTATGAAGAATGGATCCAGCCATGGATATTAAGAGATGGTTTAGCTGACCTTTTAACATCCCTTCAGTCTCATTGACTATAATTTTACATCCCAGGTTTTGTAGGTATTCCTTCTCCTTTGGCTTTTGCATCAGTTGTTGTCAGCTTTCAAGTGAATAAGAAAAATGAGTTTGATTTTCAAAGGTGCCAGAGCTAAATATGTTTTGTTTGCACGATGTCTGCATGGAAATGTGATGGTGAACTTTGTTCTCCATTGCCTGTAATATTATGTCTGCCTTCTGCTGCAGGTGATACGAGTAATAGAATAATCATCTTAAAATAAACCGAATAGTAATTTGGAATTAATAATATGAAATCCCAAATTGCTGTTTACAAAATTGCAGAAACTAGATGGCTGCATTTGAGCCAATAGTACCTGGGATGCTGAGACTGAGCTGGTTATAATGACATCTGTGCTGAAGCTCACCCTTTTCTAGGTCAAATCCAGAAATCTCTCTACATTGTAATTACCATTTCTTTTCTCAAATTCTAGGATATTTCCTGCTTGCAGCTTAATGATTAGTTTTAGAGAGGGGTTGGCTGGTAGTCACCTGGTGCTCCTTTCTTCTCTCCTCCCTTTGGGAAAGATGCCAAGGGGAACTTCTTTCCATTGGCTTCTCAAGTCACACTCCTGATAAAAATGCTGTCTGTCCCACAGATTTGTATAATTATACGTTACACATAGGAATATTTTTTAAGTGCCATTTCTTTTAAATTGATGAACCCAGTCTTTTTTCTTGTCATGTCATGTAAGTTTTCTATTCAAACAAATGCAAAGAAGCATTCATGTACTTTTTATCAGTCCCCACCTGACTCCAGTCCTGACCAGTATTATTCGTCTGACTTCAGAGGGTACACAACCAAAGACCATCATTACCTGAACTGTTTTGCTGCTTTGAAACTCCTCCCAGTCCTCCTTCTTCTTCTTCTTGACTGCCAAAGTAAAATGAAGCATTTGAAGAAGTGGGTCCCAGAGCCCCTGATTTTCTCTCTGCTGCTGCTAGGTATTCAGGGTCAGAGGGAGATAGAAGGTGCTCAGCTGTTCATCCCTTCCTTCGTGTTCTCTGTAATGCTTGTGCATCTTGACATCCGAACTGTCAGAGTGTCCAGGTCTAACAAGTGCATGAGGCTTCTGAGTCTCAAGGATGTCCCATTTCCACTGTCAGTTTAAAGGGCCATTTAAAGGCTTGTTTTCTACTGCCAGCTGTCAGGACAGCAGATGCCATTATGTACTTGTCCGCCCTGTCTGCAATTTGTCTTTTGAAGACAATTTAGCTGTCCCAGAGATGCTGAATTTGAGAGCACCACCCCCAGGACTAGGGCTGTCCATGATCCCCGTAACTGCTCATCACAACTCTCGTGGCTGCTTGGATGAGGGCACAGGGACATTCCCAGAGGACAGGATCAGTATTGGATAACCTGCTTCCATGGATCCGAAGCAGATAGCACACTCCAAAAAATCCTAAGCCATTTACTGCAGTAGGTCTCTGCTGACAAGGAGAAATCCACTGTGTCCTTGGCTGAGATCCCAGAATTCACAAGGCACTTAAATGTGACAAATCAGCTTGAGTGCTTAGTGCCCTAAGAAAGATTTTAGTCTGGATTAGGCACCGTGAAATACACAGAGAACTGGGTGGAAAGAATGTGCTCCTGGAACGGACACATTTAAGAAGTGTGTGCCACACAGTGGTCTGGCCTGGCCACCAGCTAGTCGGAGCAGTAGGCACTGGGAAAGGCTGGGACAACCAAAATTGTCAGAAATTCCTCCCCTTTTTAGCTTCAGAGAGGGCTTCAACCAAACTGTGCACAAGGATACCCTTATTGCTTTGACCAGCAAATAGTTAATTGCATATATCTATGTTCTTAGTGGAAAAACACAGACAGGTAGCCTGGAAGATGCAAGGAATGGTCTCCCGTGCAGGAATCAGATCTTCCAGAAAAAGTTTGACTCACCTTGTTAATCAGAAGACCTTTCCAGACCACACCACGATGATATCTTGCATCACCATAGCTACCCTCTCCACAACCGAATCAAGTGTCTGGCATCTTTCTGAGGCTCTCAGGCTGGTTGTCAATACTTAGCACCCATACCCATACTGCCAAAAGGTTTTACCCTCTGACAGAAGAGTGGTCCTTGGCTATACTGATTCTGAGTCTGAGGCTGGAAGTTATTTGGGAGCCTGCTGGGCTTAGACCATGCCAAGCATGAGGTAACATGAGAGGTGATCAGATTCAAGTAGTTGGGAATGTTCCCTGGCACTGCTGAGTGCACTGATTTGGCCTCCGTGTATCTGGGTTTGGTTTCCTTGTTGTCATATCAGGTCATTACCCTGGTATCTCGTCAGGCTAAATTCCCCAGGAAGCTAGCAAAGGTTGGGATGTTACCTGATCGTCCCTATATCCTGCAGTTCTTGGAGGATGTTCCTGTGGGTGGTCGTTTGCATAGGCAGATGTGGTTGCAGCATGTTGTAAGAGGAGCTTTTGGACTGATGTATTTTTTCTAATTGCTAATTCCTGCTGTTCCTCGTCTGATAAACACCTGTGAATGTATGCATGTTGGGAAGTTTTGCTTTGGGTGCCGATTATCTGGGTCCAGTGAAATGCAGCAATTTAAAGTTTTACCTTCCCCCCACAAGTGGCCATCATTGCACTGAAGTGTTAATGATTTTTTTTGTCAGGTGCTGGTTTTAAGAGAAGCATTTCTACCCTATCCTTCAAATGGCAGCCTTCAGCCTCCCTGTCATACCTTGGGCAGTCACCAGGAGAGGAATGTGTGGGGACTTCAAAGGAGACAGGGCTGCTTTGTAGTCTGACACTAACTATGATTCCTACAGATGTGACATCCAGCCCGATTCGGTGGCCCGTTGTTTCTCTGAAAACTATCGTTTTCAGAGGTGGACACCCTTTATTTTCTAAGTTGCTTTATCCTTTTTGCTTTTGGCTGTGACGAGCAAGAAGGCATTCATTAGGTAGGCAACGCTTGTGACTTGCTGAAAGGGTTGCATTGTTGTTCCCAAGAGCTGTGTAGAATACATTGTACTAATAAGTAACATTTTGAGCAGCATTTTGTTTCTAAAATACAGATAACATAATTCACCTACTGTAGTTTTTATTTTTAAATTACTACTTTTGTGCTAGTCTGTGGAGGAAAATAAAGAAAAGGAGTTAGAGGCTGTGTTTCATATGCTAAGTTAAGGAGTAAGCCACAGCGATCTGTAGTAATCTAATTCTTTTCATCTACATATGAATTCATGGAGAAATTGGAGATTTTTCAGAAGAGCCCAGCAGGCAAATATTTCCTATTTTAGCACTTGGATAAGTGGAAATAAAAATAGGTGTAGCTGGAGGGCAGAGAACACTCTTGAAAGCCTGCCTTTTGGCAATGTAAAAGGCAAACTTTGGCTTTCTTTAAAATCCAGCTCTTATGACCTGTGCTGGTGAAGTAGGTGAACCGTAGCTTTGCTTTGATCTCTCTGTGTTTTGGTGCGTGTCTAGGTTTCTCACTGCATAGGGTCCTGTATGGAGTAGGAGGTATGTTTTAACAAGGACTGTACAAGGATTACTGCAATGAAACCTTGCTGGTCAGTTGCTCATTCATTCTTTTTTTTCCTTACTTCTTAAGGGATGAAGAAGAGAAAAAAAAATCTCATTTGGAAGGTACAGATGAAAAAGATAATGGGAACCAGACGAAGGCTGTAAGTCGAATTGGTAACTCTAACAACCCATTTCTGGACATCCCTCATGACCCCAATGCTGCTGTGTATAAAACTGGATTTCTGGCTCGGAAAATCCATGCAGATATGGATGGAAAGAAAAGTAAGTATCTTTCACACTTAACATCTCTCTTCCTCGTTATCTCTGCACAGAGCCACTTAACGATGAGACTGTGTGGTTCTCCAGGTGAATAGTACTGCTTCATTAGGGGAAATTGCAGCAATAACAAACAACAAAGCAATTGGATTATCGCACTCTCACTATCAGGCCAGGATTTACATTGTTCGGTCCCATTTGTAGCTACTCTAATGCATGTGCATAATGAGTAATATGATACAGCAAAGCAGTGTGAATCTTTTGTGCTAAAAGAAAATGAAGTGCATGGTTTACAGAAGAGAAAACAATTTCTAGTGAATTACAGCTCGTCTGTAGTAGCTTGATAATTCTCCTTTTCCTTATGTTATACCAGATTGTTTCAAGCCTTCCTTCCCCTCTAGGTCTGTCTTTAAATAAAGGCTGGTTTTTGATCTCTGCTTGGATAATCCTTTAAGTATTTCCTTCCCTTCTTCCCCAGTCTTGTGTCACATAGCTGACAAATTCAACAGCTTTTGGTAACAGTCAGAATTATGCCATGCAATTTATCCCTGCCCCTGTAATAATCTTGCTGTGTCTGTTATTTACTTTAATTGTCCTCTTTCCTTCTCATCCTACTTCCATTCTTGGTGCACTAATTATCAAAGGCCTTTGATTTGACTGGGTGTGTCTGTTGTTGTTCAGTTATCTTCAATTAGGAGTTGGACTCAATGATCCTTTTGGTCCCTTCCAACTCGGGATAGTCTATGATCCTATGATTTTATGTTCAGTTTGTTTTCAGCTTATGGTCTTGGAAACAGCAGAGGCTACTCAGAACATCTGTATTTTTCCCAGCCACTATTGAAGATCGCCTACCAATGGCCCATACTGTTGGGTTGAATTCCGAAGGCAAAAGGGAACTTTGTGGTCGGTTTCCGCTAACTGCAACTCTCTCTAGTTAGGCCAAGCTCTTTTGCATTTGCATATTGTGCTAGTGTATTTTAGGAGGTGCATTTGGAGGTCACTGTTTTCAGCCTGAAGACTGGCAGCTGGACAATTAAATCCAAGTGGAGATGTCGTAATCGAACCGATCAGATTCTTTGTGATGACTGGATGTTTTGAATAGGTTCTTCTTTATTAAACTTATGTTTACTTAACCTTAAGTAATTGTATATGGTTACCATTATTAACTTAATTATAAATATTCAGAATCACTCATTATTCAGTGCACTGGATATTGGCATTTTTGGGATAATCCTTTAATGAGTAATGTAATTAGGGCCATGCCTTTAGAATTTCCTTTGTACGTAAGAGGCTTGTCTCTCGTTGTCATGCGACTCTTGAAAAAGTTACATTCAGACTTTCTAGTCGTAAGTAAAATGAAACTAATTTTTAAAGTTAGGGCTTTTCATATTTCGTTTCTTAAAGTAATTGTTGCAGGGCCAAGATCAGCTTGTGTGGGATTGCTAATGAGGTGGTGTGATTACATGCTATACATATTTCCTTAAGAAAGGAGTACTGAGGGCTGAAGCACTTAACGAGTCTAGAGGAGAAGGACATAACAGGGGCCAGTGATTGGAAGCTGAGATGAACAAATGCCAATTAAGAATAATGCTCATTGTGTAAGATGAGAATGATTAACCTCTGGAGCAAGGGACTAGTAATTTCTTCACTGCCACTTGGTGACTTCAGATCAGAATGAGACACTTTTTGAGGGTGATGCTTTAGTCATGTATTAATCTCAGTACTGAGGTCAGCATGATGCTGGTCAGTGGTGCGTGCTTGGCGGAGAGTGAACTGAGATGCTTCTGGTCGCTGTGACTGTACAGCCTGTGCCTTCTCACCCTGTACTACAGCTGAATTTCAGACTGCAGCTTTCATGCTGAATTCACCTCCCTGCTCCCCCTCCCACCTTCTTTTCCCACTGCTTGTTCCTGGGAATTTGTGGGATGGATATGTTGTCTCTCTTATGCTCTTCAGTGCCACTTCAGGTTTCTTGAGGGGTGATTTTTTTTTTTTTCTTAGGATTTAATTTGGCTCCCCTCTCCATCCACTTCTTTGGCTTCCCCAGTGGCTGCAGGAAGAGGGGTGAAGCAGCAGTGCCCGCTGGGGTGTGCAGCAGCTGCAAGAGGGAAGGATGCTCTTGGGAAGTGTTGATTTTCAAGCTGTGTCTGAGCAGTGCCTGCCAGCCTGTTTTGGCATGGAGAAAGGGTGTTCCCTGCTGAAAGCGCCGCCACGGCACAGAGCTCTGACATAGCTGTACAGGGGCAGTGTACACCCACCTGCAAGAGCACAAAGACCAGATCGCTCTGGCCTGTTTTCTGCGTTGCTCCTGTTCCTTTCTGATCCAGTCCAGGGCTGTCGTCAGGGCTGTTTTATTACTTTATCTCACAGCAGGTATGTGCAGGCACTGTGCTGAGTTGCATTGTCCTTTGAAAAGGAGAGTACAAAGGAGGTTTAACACAGGACTAATGTAGCTCTCCTGTTGCCTAGACAAAGTGTAAAAATGGATCTGAGTTAAATGGGTTTTCATTTGTTTTCTTTGCAGCTCCCCGGGGAAAGCGAGGCTGGAAAACCTTTTATGCTGTGCTGAAGGGAACGGTCCTGTACTTGCAGAAGGTAGGAGAAATCACTGTCTTTTGGAAAGTAATTAAAGAGGGATAAAGCAGCAGGCATCTTCTCCACTCTCACAGCCCACCTCCAGGTTCCTTTCTCTCTGACACACAGTATAGCTCTTCTCTCTGTCTCCCATCCTGTTTACACACGCATTCAGACATGAATCCTCTCACTGACACCCTCCCTAATTTCACAGCTTCAAGTTCAGTCTCATTGTCCCCGTCCACATGTCCACCCTGTCAATTCCAGTTTATACCATTGCTGTCACTCATGACTGACAAAACAGCCAGCTTCACCAGCAAAGACGGTGTCATTTCTCTGTGTCTTGCATACATTCCTCTGGGCTGCTTTTAACACTGCAGTTGATATGTATGACTTCACCCTCCTGTAAGGCTGTCCTCCTTTCCAGTCTTTTCTCAGTATACTTTTCTGCAATGCCTGCAAGAGCAGCTGCAAAACAGTTTAACAGCAGCTCTGTCTTGGTAGGAATCTGCTCCATAGCAAAGCTGGAGGATACCATTTTTTTTTCCTAAATCAAGATAGAAACACTTATTTCTAACAAATTTTATTCCCTGCCAGCAAGAAGTCTAAAAAAAAAAAAAAAATCAGCTCAAACCCTTCAAGTCTTTTGGCGCAAGCTTAGATGTATTATTATACAGCTTCAACTATAAAAGTCTTAAACTGTAACTTGTTCTGGAAAGTGAGATGTATTATGTGAGTGAGAACTGACAAAATGAAATAAATGGTAGCAGCTAGGTAGATTTTTAAGGCTTTTTGACCCCAAGTGTAAGTGAAATGTTATTGAAATCGGTGGTGTCTGTCCACGTTGCCCTGCATTGTAGAATTTTGGTCCATTGAAAGCACTTTTACATTTCCAATGTGTTTTGTGACTGTCAGGAGTGCAAGTTGAAGTGCATAATGTTGTTTCTTCCTTTCCTGCTCTGGTTTTCTGAAGATGTTGGTTTCATTGGAGGCAGAAATTTGAATAGTTTGGATCAAATTCTTACAGCATGTGGTTTATGAGGTGGATGGTCTTGCACTCAGTGCCTGTTTGAGAGGGCTGAAATGCTGAAGCAGACAAAGCAATCTGCAGGCAGGAGGAAAAGGTTTGGGCTGGAAGTTGGGTGTGACATGCTCAAAGCCAGTGCAGGAGGCTTGAACGAAGTCTCCCAAATTGCAGCTGACCCTTCCCTCTCTCTGGTCCTTTTGGTGACAGTACATTGCAATTTTAGTAAAGTGGCCTTCCTGGCAGGTTTGTATTTGCCCTTTCCTGTGTAAATTCAAGACAACTGCTTTGATTTCTGAAGTCATATTTATCAGTTGCCTGCAAAGGCTTCATGGCTCCCTAAGAAGCAAGAAGGTTCCTTGTCCATAGTACATGAATTAATTTCTTGTTTGATCCTTGAGGGTTGCTTAGTAATCATTCAAGGGTAAGAACTGGAGATGCTATCTATTCTAGAGTCTTAATTAAAAACTTGCTGCATGTATCACTGGAATACTACTTAAAAACACTGTTCCTTTGACAACATGTATAGATGCTGATGCACCATGCAAATTTTCTGCAGCAGTTTGCTCTCGCCACTATCACACTCCATCCCTTGGAAAACAAGAGAGTAGTTTCACATCTGACTGCACATTTGCAGAAGAAAATGCATTGGTGGAGTTCTTGTTCTCATTTATTTGTTATTTGTGTATCCTGCAGTTGTCACAGCTCTTGAATTCAGTGGTTACAGGGTAGTTACTCTGCAAAGCTGCTCTTTCCCACCTAGCTCTGAAACCACTTTCTCTGTAGCTGCAGCACAGTGACAAGCAAGACTTATGGTTTAGTGCCAAAAACAGTTGACAGAGGGGTCTGATGGTAAATGGCTCACTCCAAGAGTGATAGGGCAGCTACGGGCCTCCCTGAGGTGCTTGTAAACCCTGCTCGGCAGCAGTGCCTTGTACTACAGCAGTGAAACATAATCTGGTTTCTCTTCAGCTCCAGAAGGTCCATCAGGGCTTTGCTTAAACCCTGAAACAATCTTTGCTCTGTTAAGCTGTGGCTTGGAAGTTGAGGATGACAGGGTTTTAAAACATGCAGCTAGACTAACCTTAGTTGTAGTGAAAATTGCTGAACTGTTTAATTCTGGAGTAAGTACCAGGAGACAGAAATCTTCCTAATTTCATAAAGTTCAGGAGCATTTTAGAACAACTTGTTTTCTTTGTAGAAATCCCGAACTCTGGTGGTCGTCATGGGCAGGGGATTTCCATGGCTGTTTCCCTTCTCTCCTGATTATGTGGTGCTACTGGGCACGGTGCACGCACACACAAGTTTTTCCTCTTTCTCTCATTATCTGTACATCTGTGGAGGGAACAGCTGTGATGATAGTTTCATTGCACCGAGTGCTATTCAAGCAGAGGAGGGAGAAATCTCACTGTTCTAGGTGCTGTACGCACACAAACATACAAGCCTCTGCACTATTGCTTTCTGTATTCATCTGCAGCTCAGCTGTTTCCTCAAGACACTACTCCAGTATAAATATTAACAGCTGTGATTCCCCCATTGGGTAGTGTGGGCCTGATTCGCTTTTTGTTCTGTTTGCATCCCTGTCTACATCGCCTTGTTTTGCTGTAAAAGACCATAGACAAGAGTGGTTCCTTAAATGGTGATCATTTGAGATTTACAGGTGAGTTTATCTGGGCAGTCTGGTCTCTGCTTACTTTTTTTTTTTTTTTTCAATTGGAAGTGCTCCAGTGCTAATTACTGTGCTGCATATTGTTTCTCTTTTTTTAATGAGTGATTTGAGAGAGATGGTTTCTGAATTAGTGAGCACAGAAGCCACCGGAGGGGCTCAGTGGAAGCTATCACAATTAGCCAACTAAACATGCCTGCACAATATTATATAAAATGAGAAGTTTGACATGTTTGGGATGTTCGCCCTGACTCTGGACATCCTCAGGCCAAGGTTAATTTCCTGCCCTCTGTTTATAGCAAGAGGAAATTGGAAAGTAGGAGCTTGACAGAATGTCTGTTCTCTAGACTGACATGGGATGTGATGTGCATGCAGACGAGAGGTTTGTAAGGAGAGGACACGAGGCTGACCTCACCTCCTTGCTTGAAATTGCTTACGGGCAGGCAGGGCACGACATGGGTGACATGTTTCGGCTCTGCTCTGAGGTTTGTAACATCTTATACACCTTATAATGTGCGATTTCAAGTATTTTTATGTAACTTTTCTCCAACGGGGTTCCTCCATTAAATTAAAAAGAGAGAGAGAGGAGGAAAAAAAGCCATAATGATGTAAAGAGATCAGTGACAAGACTTTCTGAAAGAAATAATTTTGCATCTGTCACATGCAACTGAGCAGAGAAATCCACCCACGGGTACGTTGGCTGATGAAAAAACCCATTGCCGTTCTTTGGTCTATCAAAAATGGATACAGAAACACGCTGACTCTGGGTCAGCAGAAAATGGGAAAGTCGTTCATTGGGAGTCTTAGACAGACAAATTCAGCCTGTACTTGTGTGGTGTGCAGCGCTTGCAGCTGCCCTCAGTCAATGCAGGGGTCGCGTTTCCTTTCTGGCTCCTCATATATTTCTTGCCACTGCCGTGGTCTAACTTTAGTGAGCTGCCTCTCCTTTCAGCTCCACCTCCGTGCTGACACCAGCACTCCAGAGCATGTGCTGTCCTTGAAGCCATATGAGACAGGGGTGTTCCCGCGCCCCAAGCATTCCCTGCTGGTTACGAAGAGCTTGGAGGCCTTAGGGGAGGAATTTTGACAGCGCCTTCACATCCCTCCGACTTTCTCTGAGGCTGGCCAAGTCCTCGGAGACGTTTCCGGTATGCCGATCAGTGCTGGTGGAGAGCCTGGCAGAGCCCCAGCTGTCAAGGTAGACAGCAGCCAGTGGATCCAGCAGGATTAGCAAGGATTATCCTGAACTCTTTCCCTTGATAAGGAGGGGTTTGGGTCAGGGCTGCTTCTGGGGCTGCCCAAATGTGGAGTTGTTCTGGAGCAGGGTTAGGCACCAGAGCGAGTTGTGGTCGTTGGATTCATCTCACAGAGAAGGCTGGGAGGCACCAAGCAAGGCAATAGCTGACAATGTCTCACGGCAGTAATTTGAGGAAAGCCAGAATATCACGCATGCTTTTGGGATCTAAGTTCATTTCCTGGCCTTGAATTTTCTCAGTGCCTCTGGATAGTGAAGCCAGTCATCTACCCCAAAGCTACTACCAAAGAAATCAGCTTTGGTACCCATGATGCAGGGGGCTTGACCTTGGGGTTTGCTTCCTTCATCTTCAAGATCGGGCTGGGCCAGGTGTTGGACAGCTTCCTGCAGTTCTTGCCCTTTGGCTAGGGACTTTCCCAAATTTTCCGTGAAGAAGGTTTAGGAGTGCCCTGAATGGAAGCAGGCGAAGTACATCATGATCTGAAGATCCTTCCAAAACTTGCTGGGACCCATCTATGAAAGGGGAGAGGCATTTGGCTTAGCTCTCTACCATACCTTGAAACCCTCATTTGTCACAGTCAGCTGGATTGAAGGCTGTGCTTTGGCCACCTGTGGAGCAGTGCCTTGCCATTAGTCCTGCCATGGGTCTGCGGTGGGTGGTGCCCTTGCCTGTCCCCCAGCGGAGTGGTTGCAGTGACGATATTGCTGGTAGGCTGTCTCCTCCCTGGTGTGTTGGAGAAATGTCCAAGCATCAGGTTGTCCATGGTGAAACACATCCTGGAGAGGCCCTGGCAAATCCAGCATCTCACTGGTGAGAGCACCGATGCCCTTAGCAGTGGTCTAATTGCCTCCATTTGCAGCCTCTGCCTGTGCACCACCAGATAAGCCCTCTAAATCAATTCTTGCATGTCAAACAGCTCTTCTCCAGGACGAGTACCTCTCCGGGTGTTTAAGCTAATGTTGTCCCTGTGCATGTTTTGTGTTCTGCAGTCTGTTGTCTGCTAAACCTGGCCTCATCACTCTTGTGTTCAAGTGAAGGGATCAATAATTATGACACCTGCAGGGAATTACTGTTGAGTGTTGCAGCCATCATACCCACTCCCTTGGTGGGTGTTTCAGATGAGACTGATTTCTGTGATATATCAAAGGAGAGAGCAGTAGAGACAGTTGCAGGCTGCTTTGGCCTCTCCCTAAGAAATTTTGTGATTATTTTTACAGGTGCAGCATTGCTGACGAGTGATTTTTTTCCTTAAAGCTGCTGGCTTTCCGTATATTCAGAAAAACATTGATAGTCAGGTGGGCCTTAATCTGAACTCGTGTCTACACCACTCACCCAGCTCCTGTTGCTCAGGATATTCCAGTCTTATAATGGCAACATAGAGGAGTTTGTGTCCCTGTTTTTCATAATTTGCTGTTAGGAGTGGTACTGTTGCCGTGTCAGGACCATACTGTGGTTGTCATTTGCAGACCCTGCCCAGAGAAGCTATCCCCTCCTGCAGGACATACAGCTCTGTGCTTGCAAAGAGACTGTGTAACGTGATGTAACCTGGAGCTGACCCAGTCACCCAGGGTGGTTCCTTTTTGTTTCTGCAATAAAGGCTGCAGATGTGCAAAGAAGCTGTGTGATGGTGCTGGGTCATAAAGCTGTCAGTGCATTGGCACAGCAGTCACTGCTAGCATCATGCCTCCTTGGTAGCATAGCAAAAGAGAGGTTTAAACGATGTTGCTATATTTGCTTTGTGGAGACTGATAGGAAGGCTTCTCTGCTGTTGAGGGCCTATCTAGAAGGAAGTACAAAGATAGTTGAGAAAAAACAAAAATTGAGCAGTGGGAGCTGAGAACTCAAGCAGGAACTAGCAGCTGAGTAGTGGAGTTGGAGAGCTGTCCATGGAGGATTCCTGAAGTGAAGACAAATAGTCTGTAGCTGTGATAATCAGATACTCCTTGTTCACCTCTCTTCTGTAAGGCAGGTAGCAGAACTACTTCTCCCTTGCGAAGAGGCCAAAACAAAACAAAAACCCACCCAAAACCAAAAAAGGAGATTTAAAAACTAGTGGGAACAGCAAGTGCTCAAGTCATATTGCATTCAGTTCCCATACTTTGGTACTTCTCATGACTATGCAACAAGATTTTTTCTTAGGTTAAGTAAAGAGGAGTAGCACATGGAGAAATAAGATGCCATTTTTTATCTTGTTAATTCCTGTAGGATGAGTACAAGCCAGAAAAGGCTTTGTCGGAGGAAGATCTGAAGAATGCAGTTAGCGTGCATCATGCGCTGGCATCCAAGGCAACAGACTATGAGAAGAAACCCAATGTCCTCAAGCTTAAAACAGCAGATTGGAGGGTCCTGCTTTTCCAAGCCCAGTAAGTGCTCTCTTTTGATTTGTGCCAATAGTTCAGGAAAGAAAGCGGTTCTTTAGGAGGGGTAAATTCATGCCTGGGCAAGTTAAAGCAGAGGCTTAAGAGGTTCAATCTGTTTATTTGATCAGAAATAAGATTAAGTAGTGATTTGATTAAAGTGCACAAGTAGTTCATGAGAAAGAAAGATCAGGTTTTAAGAACCTTTTTAATCTAGCTGAGAAAGGCATAACAAGATGCAGCAGCTGGAAGCTGAAGCTGCAGGAAATTCAATTTGGAAACAAGGCACAAACTTCTAACAGTCAGGGTGATTAATCATTTTAACAAATGACCGAAGGCAGTCTTGGATTCTGGCTCCTGATGTCATCAGGAACCAGCCGGATGTCTTTCTAGAAGATACACTTTGGTCAGAAACAAAGTTAGTACTTAATACAAGAGTAATTTGATTAAGTTCTTCAGGCTGTGATATCCAGACAGAACAGATGACCTGCCTTTTGCTTCTGGCATTAAAAACCTGTTCATAGTTTTGTACATTAGCCTGTTTCTACTGAGATCCACATGAAACCTCCTAGAGATCTGCTGGGTACAGAACAGCTGAGACCTTAGGACACACATCTGCATCAGGGCATTTTCTGCCTCTGCTTCCTGTGTCACTTGGTTTGGATTAGGAAAAGATGCATGTTAGGGTGAGTTACAGACACTAACTGCTCACAAGAGCCAGAAGACTCATCAGACTGAAATGTGTTCATATTCTCACTTCAAAAGTGCCATTGAAGGGGTAGCGAAGATGGAGAGGAGGCTGAGTCAACAGGTTCTCAGTATGTGTTTCTTTCCCAGGAGCCAAGAAGAAATGCAGACCTGGATCAACAAGATTAACTGTGTGGCTGCTGTCTTCTCTGCACCACCGTTTCCAGCAGCAATTGGCTCTCAGAAGAAGTTCAGTCGCCCACTCCTGCCAGCTACCACAACGAAGCTATCTCAGGTGAGCTGTTTTTATATGGAGGATAGGTGATGGAGATTTCTCTGACTGGCTTGGGCCTGGAAGGTGGTTCTTTACTTTTTGTTCCTGTCAGTGCTGGTATTTGTAGGAGAAATAGGCTTGCGTGGATGTCTGCTAGCAGGGTAAATCTCTGCTTGTTTCCTGAGCCAAGATTTTAAGTAGCGGGAGAGGAGGAGAAGACTTGAGTATAATTCTTTTATATTTCCAAAGGAAAGAAACAATCACTAGTGTGCCTAGTACTAGATACAGGATATTCATTCCACAGATATAGCTCTGCAGAGGACATTTCAAATACCATCAGGCTGGTGATTTTATGAATTTGAGGGTTTATTGCCACTTGTTTCAAAAGAAACGCATGTATTCCTGAGTGTTTGGGTTATTGGGGTGATAAAGGGCGAAAGCTGATTTCATCAGTCAAACGTGAATTATATTTTTCCCATAATACTTTTCCAGACTTCAATCCTTATCAGCTGAGGGATTTCTTCTTTTCTATTTATCAGCTGTCTCTTACTTGAGCATCCATGGTCTTCCCTTGTGATCATATAACCTTTTATTTTCCACAACAACCTGTGGCAGGGAGTTTCACACATCTATTACTTCCTGCGTGAACAAACACCTACTTTTGCTGTTTTCAAACTGGCTTTGCCTGGTGCTTGAACCTACAGCTCTGTGTACTCTGATGTGATGAATGCCTGCAGTTCCTCCTGCATTGACAGGAACCCACTATTGATTGTGTCAATCAGATTGACAGAGTGGCAGAGGGGATAGATCCCAGCCCTAGGTATATAATTTTACAAATAAAATCCTGTAACTTTTAGTCATCTCTTCATGCTGGATTGCTTCTTAAATGCGTTCCTGCCATCTTCATAGCTTAGCAACACTCCTTAGAAACCATTATCTCATAATCTGCATTTCTCTAAGAGGGTGTTTTTATGTCGCCCCTGCTTTTTCCCTCTCTGTGGCAATAGCCGTTTTCCTTGTGATGTGGTGACCGACTTTCTATCTTCTATTCTGGGTTAAAGTTTAAAACATGTCTCATACAGGATAATAATAACTTGTCCTTTTACTCATACATACTTTTTATATACTGATATGGGGTTTCAATAATTTACCCCCAGTCACCAAAAAAAGCCTTTTTACTCATCATTGTTCTGTGTGATTGTTCCATTTAGCACATTGTTTCCTAGTCTCACTGTTTCTGTTTAATCTGGAAAGGGAAAAAATAGAATATAGCCCTGTGGTTTGTGTCTTGAAGAAGAGGAGACAGAAAAAGTGAAATAAGATAAGCTGTTTTAGCTAAAGGCAGAAGAATGTTAAGTGTTCAAAGCAGATAAATTCAAAGACAAGCAGAAACATGTCTGCTTTTATCTGTCAGTGTGGAAAAGCTGCCAGCAGGCTGCTTCTCATTTGGCAGACCAAAAAATATGAATTGTCAAATCCCTCTGGTTGCTGTTTAGGATTTTGTGGACTGAATCATGATGCACAGTACTTCTTCAGGGGGCTTTTTCCCAGTCAGACGGAAGTCAGGATGCCTTGAGAACATAACATGGGCAAGGGAGAGAGGGTGGTGGACATGACAGGTTGCACAAGATCATTGTAACGAGTTTGCTTTCAGTGTCTGATCTTGGTTAGTCCAGAGGGATGTGACAAAACTATATGCAAAGGAACAACCAGTGTAGAAAGGATCTAGTAGCTTTGTGTGCCTTCTTTCTGAGGGTGTGCCTGCACACACAAAAACACCAAAGGGCTGCTACCCTGGAAATTACAAGTGCCAAATTAATGGCTTCTCAAAGACCTCCTGTCATCAGACTGGAGAACTCACTGCAACAGGATGTCACTGAGACCAGCAATTTATCACGAAGTAAGAAGTGATTGGATACTTAAAGAAAAAGCAGCAGATCCAGGGTAGTTACTAACAGCAACAAGGATTTTTGGCAGTCAGTAGAGATCAGTTCGAACCCACCCATGTATAGGCGGAGGCAAATTATCCCACATATTTCCTTCTATGGTCTTCTTGCACAAAAAAAAAAAAAGGTGAAACACAAGATTAGCTGGGAATCAGCTGTTGTCCTCTGTAGAAGTTTTCCCCGTTCTGCTCTTTTCTGCAGCTCCAATTCAGTGAGCTAAAAGGCTTAGTCCTTGGTGTGACTCAGTGCGCTGCAGACAAGTCTGATAGAGGCTTGAAGCTGCAAGCTGCACATCCACACCACTGGGGGACAACTACTGGCAGCAATCCCCTCTTCTGAGGCTAGGTAAATATTTGTTAGCTGAGCTGGGCGCTACCTGCTGTTATGACTCTGCCTAAGTCATTGAGGGTTGCATGACTGTGTCTATATTTTGGACTTACCTAAATCAAACATAATTTTAGATCCAAGCCTAGAGATGGCCAGAAGGCCATGCAGCAGGAGCTGGAAACCTTCTGAGCTGAGGGAAGGTTAGCTGACAGATGGACTGGAGGAAGTGAGTGGGCCTGGGATTATGATAAAGGAAATTGCCTAGAAAGAGGGAGTAGCAGCTCCTCATTCTCTCCAACTGCACAGTGGGGAAAAAAAGCTGGTAGCAGCTTAGCAAAATGAGATACCTTCTTAGGAGAGGACAACCCTTCCTTTCCTGGATTCATTGCATTGTTCTGAACAAAAGGAAAACACAGACGTTCGGTAGCATAGAAATGGAAGTAAGGACCCTGTCCTCTCTGTCCTGGAAGGAGCTACTTTTATATTGCAAAGACCTGAGGCAGGGTCTCTGCCTGTCTCATTTTGCCCTCAGTCTGACTCTGTGTAACAGCCTTAATTAATTTGCCAAAAATGTATTAGAGCAGAAGTGTCATGTTGTCAGTAATGCTCTACAGCAAGCTGCTTCCGTTGCTCCCAGCAAGGCAAGGGATGACACGTTTGCTATCCTTCCAGTGGCATCTGCTCACTGCTGAGTTTTTCTGCAAAGTTGGCCACTTTGCTTGGATGCCTTTGAGAGAGCTGTTGGGGACAGGGGATTGGGAAAACAGGCCTGATCAATCTAATTAAAATTAGTAAAGAGAAAGAAAGAAAGAACTTACTTGTTATTGCAAAAGGATCTCCGTTTACTTCCCTTTGCTTATAGAATATTTTATATTCTGTAATTTATGTGCCTCGTGTTTCTGAAGGATGAACAGCTGAAATCTCATGAAGCTAAGCTGAAGCAGATCTCCACTGAGCTTGCTGAACATCGCTCTTACCCTCCTGACAAGAAGCTGAAAGGAAAGGAAGTAGATGATTACAAACTGAAAGACCACTATCTGGAGTTTGAGGTATGTATGGGAAACATTATTGCTTTTACTTTTTAGGTGTGGATGGAGCTGGTCTTGTATTTGTGATACAATCCAGGAGTTCTTCATTTTTCACCTTTACCCACTGAGGAGGATGTGGTTTTTTGAGAGATATGTCACAGCAATCCCAGAAGTTGGGATGTGGTTCTTTCTTTTGATAAAGACTTCCTGTGAATTTGGCTGTGGGCTTAGCTCCTTATCTATAAAATGGAAAAACATGACCCTCTGTCCTTGCCTGTTTTATCTCTTTGAAGACATGATAAGGTTTTTAGGCAGGAACTGTCTCATGTTGTAAGACTGTGTGTTGTGCACTGTGGTGGGACTCCAGTCTTTACCTGGAATTAGAGTAATGCAGATCATAATAATTATCTTGCATTGGTATGTTCTGAAGGAACAGCTCTTCTAAAACTTATGTCATAGACATGCCTCTTGAGAGCTATTTGTGTTGTCTACCAGTGAGCTAGACATCAGGATGAGCAGGTGAAGGGTAGAATTAAAGATCACAGGAGTGACTGATGCAATTTAGGCAGCTGTACGGGGACGTTGTTCTGAGATTCTGACAGCAGCTTTTATCTTTTACTGCGCCTGCCACGTTGTAGGGCTATGTGGGAAGGGTTGGGCAGCCCAGCAGATGGCTAGTGTTTTTCATGGCTGCACCTTTGAGCATTTTCCCACAGAACTGCAAGTCATTGTTGCCTTGGATCTGAACAGATCTTAAGGCAGGCACTGCCTTACAAGGAATATCCACATACTGAAGGAAGAGCAGAGGTATTTTCTGTTATGATCCATAGAGGTTCCAAGAGATTAAAGTTTATTGGCTGTGTTTGCAGAGAGAAAGGTCCCTTAATCAACTGCTGATAGAGACAGCTGCCTTCTGCCTGGAAGGAGAGAATTCTTCATGGGAACGAGCACACCAATTTGACAGTGGAGCAGAGGAGTGTGGGAGCAGGGACTTCTGTGGCTCCTGGTTTCCATTCAGGCTGTAACTGGTATTCTCTTCTCCATCTTGGGCAAAGGGTGTGTGTTTTACTGGACTGAAAAGCTCAGAGCTCTCTCCTGCATTCCCCAGACATACAAACAGTTCTAAGGCTGTGGCTTAGTGAAACTCCATTCAGGTAAGAAGTCAGGGGGACCACCAAAGGAGATGGTGGAGGTAATATAAGCCTTCAGAGCTGAAGTAAGCCTCTCAGCATGTATTATATGTATTATTATTATTTTGGAGGGCCTCTTTTTGCTCCTGGGCTGACTGGCTGTGTACTTCTGCTGTTGCAGAGGAAGGTTGTAGCCCCTCGTTGTGCGTTTGATTTTGCTGTAGCTCTGGGCTGCTGTTGTTGCATATGGTGAGCTTGAGATGTGTTCCTGCTGTTTTGTGAAGGGAGCACAGTTGGCCAGTTTGATTTTCCACATCCCACATATCTGAAATGATCTGATAAACAATCAAATGAGGAGGTGGTGGAAAGGGCTGGTAAGCGAAGAGTACACAACGATGTGAAGAAGAAAGACTTCATAATCAACAAAACAGGGCTAAAGCAGGTTCATCTCACACATAGTACATAATTAAGTGCCCCCAGGACAACATTATAGAGAAAGCTCCTATACCCTTTTTGAGCAATCAGTACAGGTAGGTGCCTCTGAAGTGCCTGTGCGCTAATGCATACAGCATGGGAAATGAACAGAGTAAATTAGAGATCTGTGTGCAGTTGCAAGCTACAATCTCGTTGGGACCACAGATATTTGATGGGATAGTTCACACAGCATGAGTGCTGCCACGAATGGATACAGGCCTTTTAGGAAGGACAGACATGGATGGAGCGGAGGGGGAGTCATCCTTAATGTGGGTGAGCAGCAGGATCATGTGAAGCCTCGCCTAGGGGAAGGTAACAAGCCAGCTGAGAGCATGTGGGTCAAGATTAGTGTGCACACCAAGACGGGTGACATTGTGTTGGTTGTCTGATAGGCCATTTCTAACCTCTGGGAGAAGCCCTGTGTTTGCAGGCCCTTGTTCTCCTGGGCAATTTCAACCACCATGATATCGGAGAGACAACATAGCAGGGTGCAAACAATCCAGGAGGTTTCTGGAGAGCAGTGACAACCTCTTAACACAGGTGGTCGAGGAGCAGACAAGGAAAGGCACTTTGCCGGACCTCTTACTTATGAATAAGGAAGAAGTGTTTGGTAATATGAAAGCCAGGGACAACCATGGCAGCAAGTGACTATGAGATGTGGACTTCAGGATCCTGTAAGGAGTTGTCAAATCAAAGAGTAGGATCACAGCTGTGAACTTCAGGAGAGCTGACGTTGGGGAACTGCTTGGAAGACTCCTATGGAATACTGCTTTGGGGGAAAGAGGGCTCAGTGAGAGCTGGTCAGTTTTCAAGTTATCATCTCCTTCAAGCTCAGGAACACTCTACCCTGATGAGCCAGAAACCAGGCAGAGGTGTCAGAAAGCCTTCATGGATCAACAGAGAGCTCCTGAAAAAAATCAACTATAAAAATGTACAGAAGTGGAAGCAGTGGCAAATGACATTGGAGGAATATAGAGATACTGTCCAAGCATGTGAGGTTGGGTTTAAGGAAGTCAAAGCCCAAGTGAAGTTGAATTATCAGAAGGTGTGAAGGTCAAGAAGAAAGCTTTCTATGGGTATGTTAGCAGCAGAACAAACAGGGAAAATAAGCATCCTAGCTGGAGCCTGTTATGAAGCAGGGAACCTGGTCACAAAAGGGAAAGGCCAAGGTAGTCAATGTATTCTTTGTCTAGGTCTCTACTGGTAAGACTAGCCTAGCCTTCAGCAATTGCAAGACCGTGAGCCCAATGGGAGAGTCTGGAGCAAGGAAGACTTACTCTTGGGGAATGAGGACAAAGTCAGGCAATAATTTAAGTTGGATACACACACATCTATGGGATCTGATGGGTCATACCAATGAGTGGAGCTCTGAGGGAGCTGGATAATGTAATTGGGAGGCCATTCTGACATTCTCATTTACCTTTGAAAGATCCTTGTAATCAGGGAAGGTTCCTGAAGAATGAATGAAAATAAATTCCTATCTTCAGCAAGGGTGAGGTTCAGAGAACTACAGGCTGCATAGATTCTTCTCCATCCAGGTAAAAGGTGGTAGAGCAAATTCTCCTGGAAATCTCTTCCAAAAACATTACAGACAAGGAGGTGACTAACAATAATCAATATGGGTTTACAAAAGCAAAATTGTGCCAGACCAATGTGATAGCTGGCTGAACAGCAGTGATAAAAGGGCTGTGATCAATGGCATAGTCAATTTTGGACACAGCACTCACATGTGCACTTAAGCCACACGCTTGCCCTCCATAGGGGTGTTGTGCAACTTAGGAGAGCAAAATAGTTTTTTTGGGTTTTGGCCCTTGACTGACAGTTTATTTTCTATCACTCCTGGAAGCACGATGAGTTAGGATGAAACGTAGGCTATAGTGTCTGATGGTTTGGAAAGACTGATAAGAGAAAGAGGTTGTTGTGTGTGTGTGTGTTTGTTTTCTGTCAATTTTATTTAGAGAATTATGTCTCAGATTCCTCAGGACAAAGCAGAAGCAGTATAGCACAGGAAACAAAAGATATCTTCTCTCCTAGTGAGACCCTTGAACAGCAGTCGAGCTGCATGGTTCAAATCTGTGACCAGCACTGCAAGGAAAGCCTGTCTAAGCAGGCAAATGGTGGCACCTGCTTGAACTGGGTGTGAGACAGTGATTCAAGGTGCTGCTGTGCAGTGCTGAATTACCTTCACACTTGGCACAGATTGCACAGACCATGCTGAAGTATCAGTTCAGAAGTTTTTGGGGAAAAAAAAAGCGCTATACAAAAATCCTGAATGGAAACTTTCTACCAGTTTTGGAATTCCCTCACCTTTCCTTCAGAATAAAGCGCTGTCAGGATCAGCGAGGAACTGGTGATAGACTTTGCTGCATGAGGTTACAGCAAGAGGACGAGAGGCAGGTGAGGCAGTATTTTGTACTCGTCTCTTTCAGGCAGAGCCTGCAGGCCAGAGCTTTCATCAATGTACAAAGGGCCAGACCAATACATCCCCGAGCACATCAAAAAGGACCTGTTAGTTCCAAAGGAAGCAGCATAGTCCCACTAGGCAGGAAGAAGCCAGATTTCTTTTTCAGTAGGATCTTGTAATTTCTTTTAATTCAACCATTTGAGTTCCCTTCGTTCTTATTCCTGATGTAATACAAGCAATGGCATTTCCTTGTGAGGGGAGGTGAACAAGGAGTTGCCCGGTCCTTGTTCAGGGATGTGTCCTTGATCACTTTTCCTTGCTGGTGCTTTTGCTTGTAAAAACCAAGCAAAGAATGCTTCCTCTTTGTTTGTTGTCTGAAAAAGTGCTACTCCAGGTTATGATTGCTCAGGATGGCAAAGTTATGAGCGAGAGATGTTTCGAGCACTGTCAGTCAGAGGTGAAGCCAGGAATTTGATGGATGGCTGTCTCATCTTATCTTCATTACATACATTCAGTCTTCAGAAATGCGAACAGTACATACATTGTCTTCAAATTGAAAAAGCTTCAGAACATTTTTAATTTCCGTGTCTTATTTTCTTGACAGAATTTTCCAGATTGCTTTCTTTTAAGGAAAAATTTCCACCAAATTGAGTACATAGCTTCAAATGTCAGATCATTAAAAGAGCAAGTTTGCAGCTGTAATCAATTGAGAAACTTTCAGATGCATTGCTTAGTTGAGACATCATGAGCCCACAGAGCCTAAGGTAAAATGGCCACTGACAGAAGTGCAGGGAAGAAACTGGTCCTGGATTTCTGTTCTTATTGCTAGGTCTTGTGACCCCAGCGGTGTTTTTACTGGACTAACAAATAAAATTCCATATAGCAGTAATGTTCTTCTCTCCCTTGATGAATATTATGCTGATACCAGGGTTAGAGCACTGTCCTGGCTTCTTTTTTTTGCAGAGGTGTACCGTTCATTGTGTGATGAATCATTCATCAGCCCAGTGCATTGTCAGATTTCTGCCTGCTGTTTCTCCATTTCCTTTCATATTGAATGACACATCTTACCTGCTTAATGCCTTTGTCTCTGGAGCTCCAGATACGGAATTGATAAGGATGCTTTTTGTTTATTTTTTAGGTGTATTCTTTTATGATCCTCCTCTATGTGGTCTTGTTTATTCAAAGGACTTTTTGGAAACACAGTCACATTCTCTCCTTTTTTCCTTTATATTCCACTCTTCAAAGCAGTTATAAAGCTTTTAGCTTTTTTTTTTTTTGCCTGTAAATAAGTATTATTACCTGGTATTTTTTATTTTATTACAAATTGGAAGAATTTTCGCTAAGCACTTTTTGCTTAGTCAGGAACATAACAGTTTGGCAGCTGTTTTCAGTGGAAATATTTATGCTTTCTTTTTTTGCCAGCCCCTATCCCACTGAGATCCCCTTAGTTACAATGCCTGCATTATGTCTTTAGTGGTTATGTCACGGTCAGGTTATTGAACAAATGCCAAGGGGTGGGTTGCTCTGTTCCCAACACCTCCTGCCCCAGGTAATGATTTTGAGGCCCTGCGGTGCTCCTTTGTTAATCCAGCTTCAATTTGTTGTTTGCTGAGATGTTCTGTGCAGAAAGGTGTTACCGTGACACAATAGAGCAAAGTCTTCCCATTGGAAGGGGAAAGCTCCACTCCAGAGAAGGAACAGGAGCAAGCAGGAATGGGGCATGGTAAAGCGAAGAAAATAAAAGTGTCTGGACAGAGAGCACCCTTCATCGTTCATCATTAGCTGTCCTGTCAGGGGAATGAATATTCCCTGCTGCTCTCATATCCCTCTCATCTGCTTCTCCCTCTCAAAGCATCGTCTCAAGGGCTCAGTGGTGGCTGAGCTGGAACAGTTTTAGATTAAAAGGACTCTGCTTTGGTTTCTACCCCTTAGGCTGAATTCAGAAAAGCAGGACCCGCTGATGGGAGTGGAGAGTTGCACGGGGGAGATGTAGCCAGCCAGAGCACGATTCTTGTTGTCCCTTAGTCCATTTTGCTGCCCATTAACTCCATGCTTTCTTCAGGCACGTAACGCCTCAGTGTATGTGAGCATAGGAGGTGACTCAGCATGGCTAAGGTCAGCAAGCTCTTGCTTGGTGTTGTTACTCAGAAATCACCAGGCACTCTGCTAGGCGAGAGCCACCATTCAGCAGAGCACTGGGAATTGTATGCTGCAGAACTGAGTGCCTTAAATTGCGCAGCATCCCTAGGCACAGCCTGCCTGAAATCCTTTTTGCACAGTGTAGTTTACATTAGCCACCATTGTTCTCATCCGTATTAGACTCCCAGCTTTCAAGGCCAGCTGAAACCATTATGTTACCTAGACAGCCTCTCAAAAATGCTTCTGCAGAATTTCTCCTAGACTGATTCGGGCCTTTCTTTTTCACTTCCCAGAAAAGTCGCTACGAGATCTACGTTGGCCTCCTGAAAGAAGGGGTGAAGGAGCTGCTGAGCGGAGGCGAGAACGACGCGCCAGGATTGAAGAAATCCCACTCAAGTCCGTCGCTCAACCAGGAGTCTCCAGTCAGTGCCAAGGTGAAGCGCAATGTCTCGGAGAGGAAGGACTACAGGCCAGAAACACCCAGCATTAAGCAGAAGGTCACTTAGGGCGGAAGTGATAGCTAGGGGAACAGCCATGCAGCAAAGTACCGGTGGTCAAAATTTTTCCATTTAATAACCTGTCATTCACAAAATTAAGTGCATCTGCCTGAATGGGGTGTTAGTGACATTTTCTATTGTATATTTTGCTGTTTCTGTGCAGATTGTGGGAGATGTCTTTGCTCCTGCTTTGCTTTGTTAATTTATCATTTAGCAATTGAAGCATCGGGACTTTTTTGTGTTCTGTTTTTAAAGGAGCTGGGGGAGGGGTAGAGCGCTGTGACGTGTATTCTGTCTCTTCCCCGTTTACCTCCTCCCATCGGCACGTGGCTTTCATCTCTCAAGTCACTTGTCACTTTATTTACGTGGTGGGTGGGAAAAGTAACTGGACAAATGCTGCAGTGTTGTGAATGTGAGCTGTAGCTGTGAGAAATTTTGTGCAAACGGGCAGCTGCAGAGGGCTGGACAGAGTCTAGGGTGCTGGGAACATTGGTTTCCTGACAGCGCAGAGCGTGTTGGTACTGGCAATTAGCAGTGGGTGCTACGGTAAATAGTCGCTGTTGCTTATTGTTCCTACGTTGACCCTGGACCCACAAAGGCAAAGGTATGCAACCTGGAAATCTCTGGCAATGCTGGGATGACAGCATTGGAATCGTTGGTTTGCTTCTTTCCAAGCAAAGAGCCTTCTCCTGAGTTAGCAGGCTGGGGGGTATCCAAACCTGTCGTGTCTCTGTGGTCAGGGAGATGAGGAGTTACCCGGCTGGGATGAACCTGGGTTGCAGCAGTGGCTGCTGAGGATGTCAGCCACTGGCATTGCATTTAAAGACAAAGGGCCTCTGTGTAGTTTTTAACTATACACTCTTCACTTAGCTGCTATATAGAGCCTTATGATACATTGTCCCCCGATGCTCCCCTTCCCAGGAGTTCCCGTGTTGGTGTGTGCAGATGTATGCAATTTCTCTGATAGTGACAGTGCACTTTGCCTTTTCCCTCCAGAAAGGGATTCTCCTCAGCTATTTGTTTTCCTGCTTTAGTTCATACAGAGGTGGAAGAGGCTGGTGCAGACTGGAGGATGGTACAGACGTGTGGTTGCTCAGGGCCAGGTTTGATGCCCTCCTGGCTCCTCCATGCCTGGAGGCCAGCACAGGGCTGCCTCAGCTTTGGCAGATCCTATCCTCCACCTGCGGGGAGCCAGCCTGCCCTGCAGCTCCAGCATATCCCACTTCAGGCTTTCAGAGGGAGGCAGAGGCCAGGGAGAGGCCACCACGGGCAGAGCTTTCCATACCTCAAAGCCATGCTTGGTCCGCAGGTCCTGGGGATGTTTGGCAGTCTTGAGTCACAGGGGTCAGGGGAGTATCAAGATGATGCAGAGATCATTTTTCTGTTTCCCAGCCCCTCTCGACTTGGGGCAGCTTGGTACTGCAGAGAACACAGGCTCACCTGGTACTTTACACGCTCAGTTTTAATCTCTGATTTGATACTGGCCTGCTGTGTGAGCTCGGACAGGTCTCTCCCTCTTTGCCTCACCCATCCCCTTTGCAGAGTAGTTGAACCATTCTGGCTTTTCTCACAAAGCGCCTTGAGAGGTAATGTTCAGGGCCAGCTGAGAAATGCTTGTTGCTGTTATTTTTGTTGGGCCTGGCGCAGGGTAGCTGTCCTTATAGATATAATTCGTAATGTATAGAGAAATGCCGAGATCAATGCAAGGACTGTTTAGAAATGTGCTGGAATTTCCAGCCTGAACGGTGTAGGACCACACATCAAAAAAAATTACCATCTGATGGGATTTTGTGCTCTGTCAGACTTCCCAAAGGGTCCAAGCCAATTAGCCCAGCTTATTGAACTGCCAGTTCAGTGGGCAGAAAAGGGAGCAATCAAAGAGAGGGGGACCCTAACAGGCACCACATGACCTGCCTCCCCCACTGAGGACCACCATGCAGCATCGCTCCCGATGTTGTGCTCGCCGTGGGCTGCAACAAAGGATGTCATGCACTCAGATGCCAAGAGGTGCTGAAGCGAATCGATCCTTGCAGTTGCAGCAGAATCGGATGGGACTGACTCCGTGTGTGATGGTGGGGCACATGCGTTTGGCATTTGGTGGAGCAAGCGTGCAGTCCTCCTGCTGCTGAAGGAGAGAGAGGCCTTCTTGTACCGGGGCGTGCTGCACCGGGAGACTCCGTGCAGACAGGTGCACGGCAGTGCTTATCGGAGGGGGTTGTGTGAATTAATCGTGTGTGGTAGGTAAACAGCTCGTGGAGGGGAAACAGAGCCAGGAGATCCCTGCAGCTGTTCATCGTACTCTGGTGGTTTTAAACAAACAATCAGAAGAGAGAGAGAGGTTATACTAAGAGGGAAAAAAGACATATGGGGAATGCTGAGTGCGTGTTTGAGAAGAAAACTTGTCCAGTCTCAGATAACGGCATTTCACAGAAAGCATGCAGCAGAAACAGGGAAAAAAAAAAGGTGCAGATGTGTAAATGGACCTTGCTTGGATGTCAGGGTGGGGTTGTCTGGAGGAGCTTTTCAGAGGCATCCTGGAACACACCCAGCAAACCTCTTGTGATACTGAGTGCAGCGCTTTAAAAGGCGAAGAGGTGACATTTAACTTTTTTCTCAGCTTTTAAAATGCTCTGCTGCAGTAGACTGGAGTTAAATTGCTGAACTCAAAAAAAAAATAAAAAAAATCCTGTGAAATGCATTTCCCAGCTTTGACACAGAAACTGGTTAATTCCTTTTCAAAGTCACTGCAGAGGAGATGATTTGAAATAACAGGAAAAGTCAAAAAGTAAGCTGCGAAAATGATTTTTTTCAGTTTTTGTTATTTATTCTCCATTACCAGGTGTACTTGCAAATGGATCGGGGTATAATTTTTAAGTCTCATCTGTGCTTAGCAAATGCAATTTTTCACTGCATTTTTTAGCAATTAAACATTTGTTGAACGTGGAGCAGTCTCGGTGAGACTGTTGAGGCGTGCAGATTAGTTTACTGAGAATTTGTCAGGTTCTGCTCAAGTTTTAATTAATGTCATTTTGCTCCATTGCTTTACAAATTCTAGGCGTCCCAGCCACCCATGTGAATATGCACATTTCAGAGGCCAAGAGAAAAAGGAGATCCTGTCGTGAATGCCTAAGCCTCCTGGACTCCCTTAGGAACAGGATCATCTGCTGAGCAGTACTGTCATTTGCTTTTTTTTTCCCTTCCCCCCTTGATGCTATTGTAAAGGGTGGGTGCAGATTCTCCAGGGGTGTGAGTGATGCATCTTGTTGGGTGGCACCACGGAGAGTCTGGCCAGATGGCTTTGCATGGTACCCGGTGCCCTGCCTTTTCTTTGCCGAATGTTTGCCTTTATTAGAGATTGGTGTTTGGCCTCAGTGACTCAGGAGCCCCCCGTTGCAGCATGTAAGGTTCCTCTGCTGATTTCCAGCCCTCCCCTGGACCCCTGCATGCCTGGCTGTCCCCACCGTGCACCCGACCTCGGTATCACCTGAGCAGCCTGTGGCTTCCTGGGGGTGCTGAATGTTAGCAGGAGGTACCTGAGGCTTGTTTTGGGCCCCCGTTCAGCCTGGGCAGAGCTGTGTTGGGATGCTCAGTGATAAGATCTTGCAGTGCCCGCTCGCTCAGCTGCAGCTGGCAGGCCACTGCAAGCGTGCGTCCGAGCATGCAGCCCCCAAGCCAGCCCTTTGCGTTGGTGCTGCTGGGGAGGTATCGCCCTCCCTTGTCCTCCTCCCTGCTGCAGCCTGCCACCTGGAAGCCGCCGCTCGGGCAGAAGCTCTGCCCCCACGTCTTGAGAGGGGGAAAGCGAGGAGGGGATGCTGATTGCTCACCCTCCGTGTTGGACTCCTCTCCCGGCTGAAGGAGGAGCGGCAGGAGGGTCTGGACGTGACAGCAGAGAGGGGAGGGAGAAGCACAGAGATGCCTTCCCTCCCTCCGCTCAGCAACCAAAGCAGGTGAGAAAACTCTCCCAACGCCAAAGCCGCGCTCTCCTTCGTAAGCCGGCAGGATGCTGGGATTTTTGTTCAGCAGCGTCGTGGAAGAAAATCTCTGGGCTGGCTTTGTGTTTGGATGCGTCTTGCAGATAAATCACGCACGGACCAGTGAACATGGCTGCAGCTTTTTAATCCAGTATTTATGTTGTGTCTTTAATTGATGTAGAGAGATAAGTCAGCCAGCAGTGTGATTAATGTAGCGGAGCTGTGGGGGAACGCTGTTCATCTGCGACTCCGACTCAGACACTTTTTCATCTATAGCCAGCCACTTGTAAATGGTTACCAGAAGCTTTCTAAGGGCTGTAACAGCTCATCCCTTAAGTGCTTTCTCTTTGATCCTGCCTGCTCCCAGGGTGCAGCCTGTCCAAGTTCAGGGGCTCCTCTGGAGCACGGTGTGCAGCAGTTTGAGCTCGCTGACCTCCAGAGGCCCCTTGTGACCTGGACTGATGGGTGACTTTTCACAGCTCCAGTGCCTTCCCGTAATAGGCCGGCTGTTCTTCTGCCTTGAAACCATCAGGCTTTTTTGTCTCACCCGAGTGGGGCTGGGTTCCCACTTGGTTAGAGCATCTCTTTGGTGAGGGGGTTGTTGTGGCGGTGGGGAATGTCAGAGGTGGCAGGATGATCACTGCATTTCTGGAGGCATTGCACTGCAGTGCTCTTCTTGAAAGATGGAAGGCTCTTCTCTGCAGACAGCTTACAGCTTACCCATGTCTGCATTCTCCATCCCTAAATCAATTTTGGCCTTATAGCAGTTAGTCTGACAGCTCCTCCTCCTTTTCTGTCAAGCTGCTCCTGTCTGTCATCTTAGCACCTCAGCTGCTTCTGTGTAACAGGTCTCTTTCCTTCCATGCTTGCAGAAATCCAGAAAATTTGACTGTCCCATCTTGCCTTGAGAAAACCTGCTCCGAGGCAGTACCGTGTTGAATGGATAACCTTTTGAACAGCTTTCTCGTTCTGCTCGTTTGTAGCCTGTATTTCCAGCCACAGTTATAGCTGGGAAGTGCGAGACAGAGTTTCAGACTTCTGTGATCCTTGTGTGTTACGCTGCATGGATGCAAGGTCCCCCTCCCACACTCAGACCAGACACTTGTGACATTCCTAGCCTCCTTTCCAAAAATCTCAGCGGCAGAGGCAGCCTGTGCTGTGCTGTGGGGAAACTTTGACACGCTGTTTTGCAAGGATTTGGGTGGTTTCCAAATCAGGTCATACATTCTCCAACCTTTCAGGGAGCTGTGTAAAAAAAGAAAAGAAAAAAGAGAAAAAAAGATGCCATTTTCAATCAGTGCCCCCCAAGCACAGAGAGATGGTATCCAGAAACACCATCTGCTTTTGCAGAGGCATAGGCAGCATGAACACCTTGTCTCCAGCAGTCTTACAGGTTGATGCTTGTTTGGACTTGACCCGGTGTGGCTCTCCCCCAGCTCTGGGGTGTTGTGTCTGCCCTGATGGGACAATTCTTCAGTCCACGTTTCACCACTCTCCCCAGAGTACGACTGGAGCTCCTCAGCTTGTGTCCTGGTGTCAGCTGCCTAGGCTGCCGAGAGGGGCAAGCCAAAGGAGCTGTCTCAGAAATTTCTTTGAAAGAGCTGGTTGCCAGCTTGTGCTTCATGGAGGGTATTTTTAGTGCATGCTCACGCAGTATGCCTGGCCTCTCCTCTCCTCTCTCTCTCTCTCTGATCTCTCCCAGCAGCATAAGTGTAGTATAGTGAACTGCTTTACTTGGAGTTCCTGAGCATTTGCTCCAGCAAGAAGAGGCTTTGTCAGCCTCCAGAGCAGCTACGTTCCCCAGGCTGAGCACCAGTGCATGGGCCCATCTCCCATGCGGCCAGCGACACCGTAAGAAGACACTCGGAAAGCCAGTGCCACCCTCCGTGTCTGGTCACCTCCTGGGACCTGGGCAGTAGTGCTCTCCATCATTGCCCTCAGTGCTGGGGGAAGTGAGAAATGCCAGCTTCCTTCTCCATGTACGCCCTGCTGCTTAGGGAACTGGCCCCAGTCCGTGTCGCCAGCTGCTTCTCTCCCTTGCGACTGCAGCGCCCTCATCCAGGGGTGTCACGGCCTCAGTGTGAAGAGGCTGGTTTAAATTAAAGCAAGGAGGAGAGGTGGTCCTGGGGAGCTGTGTCTGGAGGCCTTCTGTTGGCAACACCCAGCTGAGCAGTGGAAGGAGGCCGGCTCTCAGCCCTGCCTGAGCTGGAGGTACCTTGCTCGTTTGTTTTGTGAGCTGCACTGAGGCTTCGGGTTAATTATTTATGAGAGCACTTCCTTAACAAGCGCAAGCAACAGCTTTCCCAAAGGCTGCACTGTTGACCTGACTTTGCTGCCGTGGTCAAAAGGAGCAAATATAGGTCAGCCCCGCAGAGCTTCTGTCACCCCCCTTTGAGCAGTGAAGTATTCTGCAAAAGTTATAAATTTTTAAACAGTGAGGGACCTACCATGGCATCTGCTGTTAGGTCTGTGCCAGGAATCAGCTGGGGTACAGGCCTGAGGTACTGAGGAGAAGTACATCACTTCGTGCATGTGCTGAAAGTGCTGCAGATTACAAGGGCACGACTTTCCTCTGACATCAACCTTTGCAATTAGCAGCCGCTCTGCGGCGACGGTCCAGCGTGCAATTCACCTCAACTAGACCAACACAGCAAGGGGGCTGTGGCTCAAGCAGGCACGGCAGGTTTCAGCTCTGCCTTGTGCCGTATGGCAGCTAGCCAGCTGCTCTGCAGAGAGGTGTTTGACTGAAGTCCCCCGGCTCCCCAGAGCCTCTTGCTGGGAATGGAGCGATCTGCGGTACCCAGTCTGTCACTTCACCAGGCAAAAGCTATCGGTGGTGGAAGTCTGAAGCCACTCAGACACTTGTGAAAACCTCATGCTCAGTGCTGTTGAGTCCTGAAAAACCATAAGATGAGAACAGGGGTGGGTCTTTTTTTGTGTTGTTGTTGTTTCTTGTTTTGTGTGTACATATTCATGACAACTATGTCCTCTTATTTGAGGCTAGGATTAAACCTTGGCTAAAAGAACAGAGTTTTTTGGCAGTTTGAAAACTTTAAAATCAATACTCTCTGCGTGAGGTACAATCTGAGGCTTACAGTACTTGGTGAACGTGTTTAAGTGATGCCTATAGATGTGTGTACGTGTTTCATAGGTATAGTATGGCTTCTGTGGCTCAGCACTCCAAAGCCTGCTATTCTTTTCTGAAGCTTATTTTTGTCAAAGCTCTTAAAACAGCTGCGAACTTTGTTAGGATGCTTGTTGTTCTAGTTGTTCTCAAATTAGGTTAAACAGTCATCAGAGCTTTTGCAGATTTAGGGTATCCCTTGAGCTGCCTTGATCTCCGTGTGTTGTCCACCAGGGGCTGCCTGTTGTTGTGCGTGTTGAAAGCAAAGGCACGTGCCTGAGAGTCGAAGCGAGGATCGCTGGGTGCTGTTTTCTGCTAGCTACACGCTGGGCTGTCTCCCTGGTGGTGTCAGCTGATGCCTGCACCATGAACATCCACGCCTGATTCTTCTGAAAATCACACTCTGGGGATCCAATATACAGCTTTACTTCTGAAAATGTTGACCTCGCTCTGTGAAAATTTCAGCAAGGGGACATCATGTCCAAAAGTGTCCGAGCAGGACAGGTGCCTGTGATGTCTCCTGCAGATACAGCCGTACAGCAGTAGTGAGGGTTTCTTTCTGCAACTGTACAGATTTCCAGAAGAATGTTTGGCTCATCAGAGGGGAAAAGAAGAGCAGCAGGACGGATATCTCTCTAGGGCATCTTGTTTGCCCTCCCAGAGGTCTCCCTTGTGAGGTTTAAGCAACCTTTTAACAAGTTGGTGGAAGCCCAGTGGGTTTTCCCATTATGCTCTGTCTAGTTGGTGCAACAGCAGCACTATCTGCATTATCCCAGGAAAGGGGGAGCAAGGCCTAAGGATGGATTCTTACCTGGAGTCATAAAACGTGTAAGGTGCAGGTAACTTGATGCACTTGGGCAACCTCAGTGAAGTGGCTCTGACCATGGCTAGGGTGATCACATCTTGGAGGACTGAGATGCAAGTGGACTTTAGCTCAGGGTGAGATGAAGAGGGACATCCCCGTCACCTTGCTTTGGGTCAGTTGTGGTCTTGTAACCCTTTTTCAGGCTCTGAGCTTCTCCCTTGGGTTACCTGCCTCCCGTGGTGACACAGTGGGCAGGTGAGGGTCAGCGCTGTTGCGTTCAGAGTTGCAGTTAGGGACTGGCACTTGCCCTCCGCCTGAGATGATGCAGCGTTGTGTTCCCTTAGGTTGAGAAAGAGCACTGAATTTTGAGTTACTGTGGTGTGGTGCCCCTATGGGAATAGTAGCCCCTGGCAGCAGCAGTGCAAAAAACATTTTGCACACGCGTGTACACACACCCTGTGGATCTCTTCTGCGCAGACTTAACCTTACTGGGCCCAACAGCAGTCCTTGCAAGACTTTTCCTCTGGGCAGCCTCCTGTCCCTTTTGCCAAGTGTAGGAACCTTCTTCCTAATAACCTTGAACGCGGTTTATTCTCATCACTGACTCACTGGAGTGTTTTCCATGCAACACACTAGAGACGCAGTCCCGGTCTCACTGCTTTGTGGTAACTTCTTGGTCTGCTCTGAAGCAGCTTTGAGGTAATCACTAAATTTTTTCCAGCAGCATGAAATTTGCTGCTCTGACTCTTTGGTGTGGTAATTGTCTCGTGTCCGAGGCTGTCCTACCACCAGGGCACTCCTTCCTGTCCCTGGGTGCATGCATGGTCAGAAAAGCATATTGCTTCTCGGTGGTCAGAGTCAGAGCTGTGCCGACTTAAATCAAACCCTGGTTCATGGGAGGTGTTTCCACGTGCTGCTGATGTCCATAAGGACTCAAACAAATACTTGCTTACACAGAGATGCTTTCCTGAAGCAGAGTTGTCACTCTTTTCTACAGGTACCACAGGATGCCCTCCCTTATTCTGCTTCATGTAACTGGTACTAGAATGATCATTTCCTGATAAATGAAGGCACTTAATCAGTCCTCTTCCCCTTGGAAGAAGGACTTTTGGGGATATTGTTATATCATTTAAAATAATATTTTGGAATTTAAGTTTACATTGCTTTATTTTTCACTTGAGGTGACTGTATATAAATATTTTCCTCTATTTTATCATTGCTGATAAAGTAAGCCTACGGTATACAGACAAATAATTTGCCTTTGATGTATTGAAACTGTGAGATATAAAGTAGACTTCTCTCTTGTGTCCATGTTCCTGACTATTACTCTGTTCCTCTGTGTTTTTATAAGTTGGAATAAATGTTGCTTACGGGCAACAGAGAGCCTGCAAGCTTCCCAATAATTTTTATGTAATTGAACTCAAGCAACCCTAGTGAAGGATCTCACATATGTATAATGATATATGTATATGTACAAACTTTAGAAAGAAATAAACCAAATGTATTTCATCTCCTGCAGTTGAATGTTTTTTTTTATTGGAGCCCTGGCTGTTATTTCTTGTGCATAAGAGCATGAAGGTGGCGCTACCAGCTCACAGCAGCCTCTGGCGGGTCTGCAGCCCTGCTGAGGGAAGATAGCACCCACTAGCTGGCACAACGCTTTCCCCAGTGCATGTTGCTGACCTCTGGCAGTCAGCAGTATCAAAGTTTCCTGAGCTGGAGAGTGCAGGTACTGTGTACCTTGCAGAAACACAGCCTGGACCAGCGTACCTCTTCCAGGGCTGAAACCAGTGTTGCCCGACACAAATGTACAGTAAACGCTCTTTATTTATCACAGGAAGCCTATTTATCACATGAAGGAGGTGTGTGGTTTGGGCATGCACACTAGTCCTACATGAGGGCAGCTGGAGCTCCTCTCTCCTTGCAGCTCTGCCAGAGGTGGCCTTACCTGTGGGCTGTCACAGGACTGTGAAGTCACCTCCCCTTGGCTGTGAAGAGACACCAAGAAGACAATTAACTGATTAAAAATGGTTTTGCCAGCAGATGGGCTGGTAGAGGGCAGCTGCAGCGGTCAGCTATTCAGAAACGATTGGGAGCTGACCTCAACCTTTTTACAAGACAGTTTGTTTGGGAGCACTGTCAAGGTTGGGAATTGCTGCTGGCGTAGTGAATGGGAGGAAGCAAGGATCCCTGACATCCCAGCAAAGCGGGACACTAAAGAAAAGGGGAAGCACAGAAAGAAGAGGTGGGAGTGGGTAAGAAACAATGGCTAAGTGAAGGGAAGCAGACTGCACAATACACAGAAAGCAAACAACTTTGTGTTTGCTGTTCTTGCGCTGGCCGTGGCTCAGCGTGGGAATGTAGGAGGCTGTCTGCCGAATGGGTTACAGGGCAAATTGACAGGATGTCTCCAAGAGCAGGTAGGGCCCAGGGAAGCCTCACAACAGGGCTGGGAGCTTGTATTGGGAAAACAATAGTAGGGAAGATGTTTTTTCTTACCAAGATCTCTCTGAACGTTTGACCATCTTGAGATGATTGTTTCTTTGTATTTTTCTTCCTCCTAGAAACTCAGCGTGTTACTTTCAGATGAATAGCAAGACCTCCGGCACTTGAGATTGCTTTCTTTTCCACATTATGCTATGGGATGTCAAGCTTTTTTCTTTGCTGTTCCTGTGGATTTGCCATCCTGGTTACTTCAAAGCACTGGAAGTTTTTGTTTCCAACACATGCTCCTGGATTAGTATTTCTTTTATGAAAGGGCTAAACACAGTGATGGTGAGGATTGGGACTTGTACTTAGAGGAGGCATTTAATATTTCTTCCTAATGCCCGGATGAATGTTTCAACTATGTGTGAATGTTTATGTCAGTGCTGCTCACCGCATCTTTCCCTATTTTGCCTTCCGAGCTGACAAAGTCAACTCTGAGCATTTTCTGGTGATCCCTTTTCTGCCTGGAATCACAAGTCGTGTCACGTTGCTCACAGTGCACTAAACTAGAACAAAATGACAGGACAGCCGCAAAGTGAAAGACAGATGCATTTATATTCTCTGCATTCTTCATTGTCCATTTTCAGTTTACATTTCCAAGTAAGGAATATAATTACCAAGGGAGCCCAAAAGGGCTAGCTTGAATATAAAGGTGAATATCCACTGTGCACAAAAGCTACACATCTCCGGCTATTTACAAATAATCTAGCATGACAGAGTGACTTAGCCCAAAACTAAAGCACAAATTGGTCTGAAGTTGTCATGGATATCTCTAGATTAGAAACTGGAAGCGTTCGTACCCAGCAGAACATTGATGTATTGCAGTAGCCTCCTAACTGGCAAGGCAAAGGCAAAAATACCTTGTGGGCTTTATGGTGGAGGTTGGTACGTCACGAAGAGGAATGATACACTGACGACCCAGGTTTTCATTCGTCAGGCCGTCACAGTGTTCAGCTCTGTCTATGTTTGGTGCTAAATAGATGTTTTTCAGAAAAAAAAAGAAAAAATGTCACCCATTATTGTAACCACTTTCCCTAAAAAATGGGCCATCCTAAAAAAGATAAACTACTGCACAACAGCTTGCCACCACTCCAGGATTATTTGGTCATATTTGTTCTAGGGTATCTCTTCTAGTCACCAATCCACAGCTAATTTTTGGGTGGATCAGGTATGGAGATGGTGTGTGTCTTTGTTTTGTTGGTCTTATGACAAGGTCACAAAAACAAGGAGCTTAACTTGCTTGAGGTGGAGGAGTCAAGGCCAAAGCACACTGTTTTGTCTTAGAAAATATATAAGGCAAACAATAATAACTGGAAAGCCATAGGGGAGTTTTGTTCCCCTGTGCCCAGACAGGTGTATCAGTAGTACTGTATAAAGCTGAGACTGCCCCAGCAACAACTTTGGAAATAGCAGACTTGCGGTAGCAGAACTGGGCCAGCCAGAAAGGATTAGCAAGGGATGTGTCTTAAAGATCATTTAGCATAGAGAAAGTGAGGCAAAAGGGTGGCAAAAAAGGTGTTCCAGAAATAGAAACAGTAATGAATACGGTAGAAAATCAGGTGAAGAGCAAAGGATGGGGGAATATTCTGAAGGGAGGAGTGCAGGTGCCTGCAGATAGTTGGGATACTGACCCATAAACCCAAACCAGAGGGAGTTCTGTGGGACAACACATTGGAGTTCCCATCAGCTCTGTCCTGGTGTGAGGGTGGGCTGCAGAGGGGCAGATTTGCACACCAGTAACAGGTCATGTGGAGAGGAAAAGGTGGAGGATCAGTAACTAAGTAATGGCTGTGTGTGATTCATGATATGTAAAAGAGCTGATTAACAGCTTTATAATTGTGTAATAATGTGGAAAGTGGTATAATTGCAGATTAGTGAGAGGGTGTGTTTACTGGGTATTCAGTATATTGATTCTTTAATAGATGGACCATTTTCTTAGTAATGGCTTGCTTAATCACTAGATGCTGTAGTTTCCTAAATCAGTGGCATCTCGATCCTGCAGTCTAAATGGAGAGAGTTGGTTCCTGAAATAACAGTTTCATGGGAAGAAAGGCTTCAGGACAGTTCCTGCCTCATTTAAACTTGGTTCAGTCACAACAAGTTTAATGACTTAGACAACTGCAAGGATGTTTGTAAGAATATTTGAAAATAATGAATTATGCAGGAGCTCTGCCAGTGACCACAAGCTAAGAAGGATGAGTCTAGAGAATGCAAAAATAACAGTAAAAAAAAAAAAAAAAGACATTTTAGGAAAGCAGGGTCTGTGAGTTAAAATTTCAGGGACAGACATCTATAGTGTGGAAGCATGGTGTTTTCTCCAAGAACAAACACTACTTGTCTGCACATGTAAAGGCACTGGTGGGCCATTATCTGTGCAGTCTTGAAATGTAGGTGAAATGTATTGTGCAGATGGCTGGAAGGCTGCAGAAGAATGCAGAATATAGCACCAGGGACTGAAAGCTCTGTGGAAAAGAAGATGGCAAGGAGAGTTTGCCCGAGGGGAGAGCAACAAAGAGCGGTTTGAAAGCCAGAGGCAAGGAGAAAACTGAGCAAAACTGTAAAGAAAAAGCATGGGAGGCAACTGAAATGCATACAGATTCAGCCATCACTTGGAAAAGGAAATCAATTAATAAGAAAGGAGCTGCCACCTGTGAAGGTTGCCTGACACCTTCCTTTGTCTTTTGATGAAAAGTTCATGTTCCCCCATTGTTTGCAGAGGAGATTTTAACACTGTCAGGGCTGCCATGAGGTCAGAAGAGGGTGCTGTGTGCTGACCTTCAGAGAAAGCTGCTCAGTTAGCCAAGATAAATACTTCTGTCTACGCCTTGTAGCTTGGAAGCTACAAGCTTCCAAGCACCATCCTTCTGTCTGTGCAGTCTCTGCTGGATGGGGAATGGCTTTGCTAGGAAGAGAAGGAAAAAATAAAATAAAAAATGCCAAGCTGAAGCCCCTTCCCCTCCCTTTGGGAAGGTGAATATTTTTAGTTAGCTTGAACAAGCTTCTCCCCTCTGCTCAGGTGTCAAAAATTAAAAACAACAGCAACAACAAACACACACACACACACACACAAAAAACCCACAAAAACTTTCTATTTTCAGGTGAATTCCAACTATGGCTTGTTAGCAATTATGCATGTCTCAGAAAACTCATAGTGGATGCAGCCAGCAGTATAGGTACGTGATGTGCCCTGTCACTTGAGAAGTGGCTTGACAGGACAAGGGGGCATGGCTTTAAACTAAAAGAAGGGAGATTTAGATTAGAGTTTAGGAGGTAATTCTTCTCTCAGAGGGTGGTGAGGCCCTGGCACAGGTTGCCCAGAGGAGCTGTGGATGCCCCATCCCTGGAGGTGCTCAAGGCCAGGCTGGATGGGGCTTTGGGCAGCCTGGGCTGGTGGGAGGTGTCCCTGACCATGGCAGGGGGGTTGGAACTAGGTGATCTGTGAGGTCTCTTCCAGCCCAAACCACTTTTTAGTTATGTGGATAATGACTGGGTCATAACTGAGGATGGGTGTGGATAGCATGAAGTAATGAACTGGGATGGATGGAGCCAGGGTCATTACTGGAATAATTACCAGAGTAATGTAGACACCAGCTACTGCATCCCTGGCTTCTCCCAGGGTGGTGCTTGCTATGGCAGGTGCTTGCAGTGGGCTGTGCCTGGGGTGGGAATGCTCTCTCTGTATGGGCTAGAGCATCCTGCTGGGACACTTCTGTGGGGGCCTAGCAGCTAGCCAGTGATAGCAAGCATGGTGTAAAACCCAAATCTCTATTACCACCACCATACCCACGCTGCGTTACTCAGGCAACTGAGGTGTGGGCGGCAGTTAGAGGTTGTAATTGTTTCTGGAGGGGAAAAAAAAAAAAAAGAAAAAGAAAAAACACGAAAAAAGAAGTGCTCTTTCTGTTTAGCTGCAATTTCTGACTGCACTTTAGACAAATTGTCAGAATCCACATTCCCATTGGCAGGGAGCCAGGCTCCCTGGCACGCTGATTAAACTGTGTGTGGGCAAAATGTAGGCAGATGA